ATTTAATGCCTTAGTTTTACATTTTTAAAAGATTTGAAACAATCTAAAAAAAGTCTTTCACAATGGAATAACAGGGTACTGTGTGAAGAATTTTTGAGAAAAGAGATTATTTAGTACCATTTCAAATAAGGCTGCATCATAGCAAAAAGGTGGAGAAAGTGTGGCTCTGTGAATACCTCGATGCACTGTACACAAAATTATGAACCAGTTTCATCCTACTTTCTTTAACAGAGACTGAAATTACAAAAATCTTCTAACCTTTTTTGGATTTCATTCCTTGTGGCTCCTCATATGGAGGCTCTCTTCTCTGGAAGGAATTGATGAGGACAACACGAGGTGAAAGATTCACATCTGCCAAGCTGTCTGTTTTGCACAGAGAAAAAAACAGAAATATTGATTTACATAACTAATGAAATACTCGGAGGAGCTTAAAAGGAATCTGTGGTAAATATGAACATTCTCAGTACAACTATAGATTATATTCTAACTTTGTTGTATGGAGCAGCAGCTTGACCAAAGAAAACCACACAAACAGAACGGAAAACTGTTGGTATTTCACCGGTGGATCAAAATGAAAAAATAATAATAATCATCAAAATCTAAATAGCTTGAAGGATTTATTTTAGTATTTTGATCTGTCAAGGTAAGATTAAAACAATCTTAAAGGTGATAGCTACAAGTTTAACTCCTCCCGAGTGGTAAGTGGCACTCGCCCGCTCTCGTTGCCTGCTGTTTGCCATCCATTTGCTAAGTCTGCTAATGCTAACATTTAACTCTCCTGTCCAGAATAAAAGCAGGAACCTCTGAATGGCTTCTGAGTCCATTTTATTCCTTAAACTAGCATCAATTATCAAAACCGTAGCCGCTGTTCATCTTCATTTTGCTTCCTTTTTTTGGCATGAATCTAAGAAATTTAACGGCGATAAGTATCCATTTTTAATCTTTATTATGGAACTATTAGGATCTGATGACACCTGAGTTCTGTGTCTCGTGACCTTAACCTACTCCTCATTATCTACTTTGGCACTGCAATCAAATGTAAGTTGTTGTGTTTTTTTTTTGGACACAATTTATTAAAAAATATTTTAATAGTATTTTTTTGTAAAATTTATAATACAATTTTACTCCAGACTAAACATTCTATAGATGTATTATATTTAACTTTTTTTTATTATTATTTTGATTTAAAAAACCAAATTGTCTCTTTAACATTTCCTTTTTGCAAGGTTTTGCAACTGAAATATTTAAAATTCACTGATGGGATGGTGTTTTATGCAACAAATTAAATGTTTTTACATATTTGCAGCCGCTACCTTTAAATATTTTTGGTTGACTGCTTTCTTTTGACGGATCCTCGGCTGTATCCATTTCCAGGTCTTGGTCGTCCTCCTCTTCATTGACTGGTTCCTGAAACTCCATGTTGTCATCATTACGGTTGTCACCATCTCCTTCTTTAGAGTTCCAGCGCTGCTTCTTTGTCGGAGACTCTGTTGCCCAAAAAAGTAAAGCCCTGCTTAAGCATTGTAATACACAGTGAGTGTTGTTTCTAAACTTGAGGAAAGAATATTAACTTAAGAGCATCCTACCTTCATCATCCAAGCCATTCTCCAAACCTTTAGCACCTTTAGCTGCAGATGGAGGTTGACGTTCCATTGTTTTTCTGGTCCGTTTTAGAGGACCTCTAGGGGTTGGTTCACTTAGTACTGTAAAGGAAAAAAAGGCACCTCTTTTAGGTTACAAGGTACAAACACGGCCTTGCCTATGGTGACCTGTATTGTATCTAGGATCAAATTTTCCAGTACTATATTATAATACTTTAACGCATTACTCTTTTAATTTATGATTAAAGGTAATATTAA